GTCTCTGACAAGCCTAAGATTCAAAACAAAACAAAACCAAAAACTGTTATGAATTCAGAAGTCCTGTGTTCTAACCTTGCCCTTTCATAACCTACCTATGCAACTTGGGCAAGAATATGTCTAAACCTTTCTTCATCTGTTAAAAAGATGACTAGATAGCAACAAAATTCCCTTCTACCTCTAAAATTCTTTGAGTTTAACTTTATTCTTAATGTTTTCTAAATTTAGCTGATCTTTATTTATAGTTGATACCTTACATTAATACTGCTGTTAAAGAATGCAGTAGTACAGAGGTTCTCAAACTTTGGTCCTTCGACTTTTTCAACACTATTGAGGACCTCAACAAACTTTTGCTTATGTACATTCTACCCATCAATATTAACCAGATTAGAAATTAAAACTGAGGATTTTTGTAAAAACATAAGAATACAAAAGCATATGTTCCATTAGCTGTCAGAGTGATGGCATCATTGAAGGTCATATAGCCTCTGGAAAATTACACTGTACACATGAGAAAAGAGAATTTAAAAAGGCAAATAAAACCTTGGTATTTTTATGAAAATAGTTTTTATCTCATGGAATTACTAAAAGGATCTTAGGGGTGTCCCTAGGGTTTTCTGGACCAAATTTTACAAGTGCTGTTATCAAACCTGTGTATGTAATTTCTTTACGACTGAAAGCTGATTAAATATTTAGATGGTCCAATTCACTATTATCTGCCCTGCATCCATTCTTGGTTCCTTCCCAAATTATGGGTTAATGTATTAACAGGCCAGGCCTTGTTCAAGAACTATTTTATAATGGTGTTATTCATGTGTTCTTTTCCTCTGGACATCAAAATCCAGACTACATTTGTTGACTGGATTCAAGTAGATGAGATACCTTTTTGATAATACTGAAAGGAGTTCCTTTAAGGCTTTATAATAATAATGGAAATATTAATTTGAAAAGATAAATACACATTATGGGACAAACAAAATGGTGTGCCCTAAGTAATCTGAGAAAAAATTGGAATAAAAAATTAAAAATAATATAGAGTATTGTTCTAATTTTAACTTCCCATAATACTGGACTAAAAAATAAGTGAAACCAACACAGTATAAGAGAATGTCTCTTTGTTCATTTTAGGGTTTTCTTCTTTTTCGGTCATCTGGTTTCTAAGTCACCTATTAATCCTCTGCTGTGAACCACCCAACCCCCACTGTACTGTTCACTTCTGCACATAAAGAATTTTCTGTCAGTTTTAAAGGGTTCTCATTCTTTCTAACTATAATTACTTAGAGTACAAACTTGAAGACCAGAGTTTTCTCCAACTGTAATTTTATTGTTGTAGCTACATTGTTCTTAACATAATATTATGAAAATTTGTTAATGTTTAAATTTAATGAAGATCATTGCCCTTCAAAAGTATCTGTAGTGGATTACTGGCAAATGACTTCAGTATCTTCACTCTTATGAGCTGGTAGAGAGGTATAATGCTACATCTTGGCTTTTGCTATAAAAGATAAATTTGAGGTTGAATATCCCTGATTAAAAAGTCTTCTGTAATACTGAGGCAGTACTGTGAACTTCTCTGTCATATTATTATTCCTCCTTAGAAGATGATGTTGATAACTTTGCCCATACCTTCTTAACACTATTCATCTACAGGCCAAAGGTTTATTATTGTAAGCATGGGTAATTCTCTGCCTTGGAACTTTTTCTGGCTATAGATGTGTGCTTTGACATATAGGAGTAGGCAAAAATGAAAGTTCAGGGACTTAAAGCCTACAGAAGCATCTCCACCAATGTTAGTTAGGAGTTTGTGGATAAATACCCCAGCTCCCTCCGTTTCAGCGGAGGCAATTCTGAGGTATATTCTCTGTACAGTTGCACTTCTTTTCTTTCCTCCTCTGACTTACTCCTGGTGTTCCTTTGGGATCACCTTCCATTTACATTCAAATCCTTGCTCAAAGTCAGCTTTGAAGGAATCCTGAAATAAGAGGCACTGCCCCAAACCTGTGGTTTTATCTTTTTAATGTTCCATGCCCACTTGTAGACGATCTACATCAATATTTGTTGCTCCATATAGTACTACTGCTCATTTTAAATGCAGGGCTGGTCACTGTTCCATTGTAGCAGCTGGACTTTGCAGTAAATGATAAATGTTTAAGAGCTGTATCACCTCACCCAAAGCCCTCATTTATAGCATTTATTACTTTGGTATGCACACCCCTGCCATGGCTTATTTCAAGCCAGCAATATGATGTCACTGATTATGAGGTTGAGAAGAAATGTGTACAGTTGATTCTCTTGAGCCCTTATAGGCTACCTGGACTTAGCTTACCACTGCTTACCAGGGTAAACCATCACGAAATGAAGAGCTGCAGAGATGAGTGTTTGACAATATTTTTAAATGCTAGAGCATAAATATCATTTAATCATATTCCCTCATGTTGTTGGTGAGGACTCTGAAGTCAAGTGGGAGGAAGAGTTCTGTCTATTATCTAACACAAGTAGTTAGGGAGATCAAAGACTAGATCTTCATGGTTCTTGCTCATTAGTAAAGATGACAAGGAGCAGCCTTTTGGTCATAAGGAGCAACAAAATGGATCTGGTTTTCTAAGTTCAGTGATAATGGTGAAATATGTGTTGAGGGTGTAGGATCAACTAAGAGATAGGGATGGTCAGAAAAATTTTGGCTCGTGCCTTACCAGGTTGCTTTTTCATTCTCCCTTTCACTCCTCAACAAATACTCATTGTTTCCGATATGCCTGGAATGATGTCAGGTATTGAGGATTCAACACTGGGTAAAACAGTCTACATCCAATTTACATACTAGTGAGAATAAAGATGTTAAACAATTAACTGAAATTATGATAAATATTCCAAAAAGAGAAGTACAGGTGCCATATAGTAACAGTGTCCCTCTGGAACTTCAGAGAAGGATTCTGGGGAGAGCAAACAGACCTGGAGCTCAGAAACACTGATTTGCAGAGGCAGATTAAGGGTGGGAAAACAATGCAGGTAGTGTAACAAGACAGAGAAAATTAGAACTCTCAAAGAGAGATTACTGTATATGATTAAAAGGAACATTTAATTTGCTATTTGCTGTGGGGTAGATTTGGGGAGTGAGAGATAGGGAGTCACTGAATAAATTTAACTTGGGAAGGATCATGCTCTAGCATATGTTTTGAAAAAGATCACCACAATCATGGAGTAGAAAAGGAACTAAGCTTTGACAAAACTAGGAGAGCTACTCTGATATTAGGGGCCCACAAATGTCTGGTGGGTGATCACTACAATAATTCCATAGTACTCTGATGGTTTAGCTATGATATTATCTCTGATATTTTAATTTTATTTCTACTTGTCAGTCTAAGGTCTGATCTTTATACTACCCTGGTCATTATCTGGCCATAGAATTTGGAACTTATGAAATAACACTAAAGATGCCAGGCACTGTTCTAAGTACTTGACAAATGTTAACTCATTTAATATGTACAATAACCTTATGATATAGGTTCTATACTTATCCTGATTTTAATAAATTAAAGCATAGAGAAGTAATTTGTACAAGGTTACATAGATAATGAGTGCTAGAGCTAGGATTCAAACCCAAGCTGTTTCATTCCAGTGTCTATGTATTCTCCACTGTGCCATATCACTTTTTGTAGTTTATCACTTATATAGGTAATTAGTTGTAACAAGTTCAGCAATTGTTTTCTCTTATTGAAGTAAATTCTCTTCAGCTATGTGATTTGCCAGTTACACTATATTTCTTTCATAATTTTGTTTCTTGGAATAACTGAATTTCTCATTTAGATAACCAGAGTCCAAAAGTTATAGGTTCTTTTTCCTTTCTTATTTACCCAACAAACACATATATGGTATTTTTTATGTAGCAATCACTATTTTAAATTTCCACAATAGCACACCTGGTGTGGCTCAGTGGTTGAGCGTGGACCCATTCACCAAGAGGTTGCCTGTTCATTCCCAGTCAGGGCACATGCCTTGGTTTTGGGCTCCATGCCCAGTAGGGGGTGTGCAGGAGGCTAATCCTTGTTTCTCATTGATGTTTCTATCTCTCCCTCTCCCTTCCTCTCTCTCTAAAATCAATAAAAACAACATATTTTAAAATTTCCACAAATACTAACTTTCTTATAGCCCAAAAAGGTGTGTACTGTCATCTCCATTTTACAAACAAGGAAACACAATGTTTAAATAGTTAGGCCAAGGTCACACAGATAATAAACTAATTGAGAATTAAACCTAGGCCATCTGGCTTAAAGGCCATAATTTGAACTTCTAAACTGTTCTCTTTCTTATCTGCAACAGTTCAGCTTACTCCCAACACCTTTTAGTTGTTAAATAATGAGAATGGGTGTTTTACGTTTCTAGACTAAATGCTTTAAATTCTCATCTTTCCTGATAGCACAATTTGGCACTTAAGAACATTGGTTATTGTGACAATGCCTGGACTTTCAGTTTCAGTTTGAGATAGGAAAGACCACAGAGAAGAAATGAAAGCAGTATAGTACTCTGAACTTCCCACATAAGTTACTTGAAGGTTAGTTCTATAGCCCATAGTTTTTTAAATCTCCCAGAGACCCCAGAATAAAATAGCTATCATAGATGTTCCACAATTTGCTTCTTGATTCATAGTTATGTCTTTGATTTTTGTATTAGAACTAGTATAATGAAGGCCTACCTAATTTTAGTTCTCATTAACAACAACAACAACAATAACCTCTATATTTCATTACTAGGCATATCTAAATATGAATTACAATATGACTTCTATTAAAATTCTTCTCCTCAAGTGTATATGCTAAAGAATACAAATCACCTTTTATTTTATTTTTTTTTAATTTATTTTTTTTACCATGCAACAAAAACTTTATTAACATTTTGAACAGATTCAGTTATTAGTGAAACTGTTCATTTCTAAACTTAAATTGGGGCAAATGGCTAGAATGCAGGGTAGTGACATCACTGGACACTAGGAATGCAAAACTGAATTAACAGCCACCCCTCAGATGGAGGACCAGGTGTAGGGTGGATTCTTTCTGGATGTTGTAGTCAGAAAGAGTGTTGCCATCTTCCAGCTGCTTGCCTGCAAAGATGACCCTCTGCTGGTCAGGGGGGATGCCTTCCTTATCCTGGATCTTGGCCTTCACATTCCCAATGGTGTCACTGGGCTCCACCTCCAGGGTGATGATCTTGCCAGTCAGGGTCTTCACAAAGATCTGCATACCACCCCTCAGATGGAGGACCAGGTGTAGGGTGGACTCTTTCTGGATGTTGTAGTCAGAAAGAGTGCGGCCATCTTCCAGCTGCTTCCCTGCAAAGATGAGCCTCTGCTGGTCAGGGGGGTTGCCTTCTTTATCCTGGATCTTGGCCTTCACATTCTCAATGGTATCACTGGGCTCCACCTTCAGAGTGATGGTCTGGCCAGTCCAGGTCTTCACAAATATTTGCATTTTGACCTTGTAGTGAATATGAAAAGACTGCAAGTCCAATCACGTGGAGTCACTCCAAAGACCAGGGACAAACACCCAACACCACCAGCCGCTTCTCACAAATCATCTTTTAAAATTAACTTCTATGTGGAGCTGTAGTAGCTTATAATTTTTAAAAATCACCTATTAACGTCATCCATCACATTAGTTCATTATCATTACTATCTTTTGAACAAAGACTTGAAACAAGTATAAATCTGCACCATGCAAATCTATGTCTTGATGGGCTCAGCTAATAAGAATATTATTTTAGCTTTAAATAACATTTGTAGTTTTTTAAAACATTTTCAGATGCATAGTCTCTTTTGATCTTTTCTATACTGCTTTCCCTTCATATCTCAGACTGAAATTCCAGGCGTTGCCACAACAACCAGAGGACATGAAGTGGGGTTGTAATGTAAATATGTCAGCTTGAGCTCCAACTCAGTAAAATACAGCCCTTTAAATGCTATCATAAGGGATAGTATGACTCACAGTACACATTTTATTTTTACAGGTGACTAGTGCTTCACAGATGTGTAATTGTTTTGTGATTACAGTGACAAAGAATGACACTGCCCCAGTTTCCTGGATTTAAACCCTTCTTTTCCTCTCCCTACTTCCCTTGACCGTGAAAAAAATCTACCTTGACTGTATAACTGTTTTTTATTACCAGGTTTCCTAAAATGACCTCCTGGCTGGCTTTTGTTTCTTGTACGCTTATTGTTGAACCACTCAATATAAAACACGGGCTTCTTGAGTTGAAGAACCATTCAAATCTTTTTGGGAAAGGCACCCAACCAATATGTCCTGAGTCATTTAATTATATAGCAAACATTAATGGGAGCCCAGTAAATTCTTGGCATTGGGTTTGGTATTAAGTATTCAAAGTGAAAAATATATTGATCCAAACTCAAAGAGCTTGTGGTCTTTGAAAGTATGTGAGAATGGAATGAAAAGTACTTGAAATTGGTCCTTGGATGTTTTAATCAGCTGTCTTAATTGTGTAAACTGGAGATTAAGATAATTAATAGTTATTAAACATTTAATGTAAATTACATGCTTTGTAAGAATTATCTTATTTAATTTCCCACCAATATGTCAGGGCAGGTATAGATATGAACATTTTACAGATGAGAAAACTTAGAATCAGAAAAGCTCAATAATTTGCTTAAAGTTACAAAGTTGGCAGTGCTGAGGTTAAACACAGACAGCTTTAGTCTGAAGTTCAACCTGACAATCAGACATGTCTGATCCCAATGGCTGGGCTCTGTTTAATACACCTCTACATATTCTACCTTGTGTGTGTCTCTATCATTCCAGCTTGGTTTTTCACACTGGAAAAAATCCTAGTGAAAAGAAAAAGGAGGGAGAAAAAACAACCAACAAAGTAAATTAGAACAACAACTGGGGCTTAAAAAGTATGGAAATTTAGACAGAACAAATGCTATTTTATACCATGGATTAGCATATAACATCTTATGAACTGCTATGTGCTAGTATGTGAGCTGGGAGAGCATAGTTCTGAAAGTTAAAACTTTTCAAAAATTTTATTGTATTTTTAATTTTAATTGAATTTATTGAGGTGACATTGGTTAATAAAATTAAAAAGGTTTCAGGTGCACAATTCTATAATACATCAGCTGTATATTGTATGTTCACCCCGAGTCAAGTCTCCTTCCATTACCATTTATTCCCCCTTTACCCTCTCCTACCTCCCCCAAGACCCTTTTACATTAGGGTGGTTTACATAATCTACCATTTCATAGCAGAGGGCCAGTCAACTAATTCAAGCAGTTCCAATGACAGGAAATTTATGGAATATTTGAGATAGTCTAACCCATTGTAAAAATATTTTTGTTGATTTTTATAGAGAGAGGGAGAGGGAGAGAGAAAAAGAAACATTGATCAGCTGCCTCCTGCACTCCCCCCACCAGGGATCAAGCCTGCAACCCAAGCATGTGCCCTCACTGGGAACCAAACCTGGCAACCTTTCAGTGCACAGGATCATGCCCAATCAACTGAGCCATACAGGCCAGGGCCCAACCCATTTTTTAAATACTTTCATTGAAATAATGAACAAAGATCTAATACCTGTGATTTCTACTTAAAAATTCTAGATCTATCCCCCAATCAACATAGAATTCACAAATGCTTTTTGGTCATGTTCTAAATGTGAAGTGAAGATAATTATGTGCTTGTAGGGGAAGGAAATCTGCTGGTTGTCTGGACTTGTAGCATTCTGGCTTCTAGAATGTTTTGTTTTTCTTGTTGTGTCTTGACAACTTATTTAATGTCAGTAGACTCCTGATCTACTTTTAGTATGCTGATAAGGACTGAGTTTCTGAGCCTGGGCTGAGGATAGAATCCTTAAGATATTTTGACCAGGGTCATGACAGTAGTCAACCTGTTGGGACTCTGGTGGGAACTCACCATTCTGACCTTGCTACATGGAACATGAACATCTTGATGATAATTTTACTTCATATTCTGATTCAGTTAAGCATGGAATGCTATGGGAACAATTAGGAGGGCAGCTGGCCCAGATTTGTTGAGAATATGTTTTCTAGAGTTTGCAGACAATAGAACTCATTTTAAAAGATGGAGGAAGAGTTGGCCAGGCCAAGTTGGATGATGGGGGCAGGGGACAGGGCATGTCCTAAGGAGGAGCACTGTGCATGATGGCACCTAGGCATGAGAGAACGTGATATGTTTAAGCAACTGCAAAGGATTGTGTGACTTCTTTAAAATTTTTCAACTTTATTTAGGCATAATTTATGTCCAATAAACTTCATCCACTTGAAATATGCAAATTAATAAGGTTTTTTAAAAAATCAACTCTATTGTGATATAATTTATGTATAATATAATACACATAATTTATTGTACAGTTCTCTGAGTATTTTAAAATTATGGTATAAAACATAAAATTTACCATCTTAATGATTTTTAAGTGTAGCTTGGTAATGTTAAATATATTCACATTGTGGTACCAATCAATTTTGAATAACAGTATACCACTCTACAGTCTTCATAGGACCTTAACAAGAAATATAATGTAATATTAACCTTTATACTTTTCATAATGCTTGGATGGAAAATATATTGATAATAAGGACATTGATCAAATGGGATTCATGCATTATAATCATTGAAGCAAATTTATTTTCTCTCTCTCACTATCCCACTAAACTCAATGGAAATAGTTCTTTCCCTCGTCTTTTACGGAACCTGAGCAGGCTTCACAACTTTTTTCCTCATTTATACATAACAGAAAGACTTGTGGTCACTATAAGGCCATGGACACAGAATAATTTAATAAATTGACCGTAGCCAAGAAATTTGTATGTAGGACAAGCAATAATTAAGATGAAATTCCTTTGATTTTCAGTGTGAAAATCTTTCCCACACACTTTTCTAAAAATATATAGCACTGAGGATACATTTGAAAAAATGAGCAATAAGTGAAGGTGCCCGTCACTGGCCTCTGGAGATGATTCTCCACTGAGGGGAAGAGTTTGAAGAGCTTATTTATTTTAATTGCTATATAAAATCTCATGGGATATACATACCACTGTTTAAACATTATTTTGAATAATTAATTAGTGTGTTCTTTCAAATATGTATAAGTCTTGTGCCTGTGTGCACAAGTTTCTCCACACAGTTTATCACAGAGTAAAATTCTGAGTCATAGGAGATGAGGATCTTCAACACTGGAAGATGTGTAGTTTGTGTTGTTACTGTCTCTATAAAAACCTTTAAAGGTTTGCTAATATGATGTGTATGAAATTGTACTTCATTTTCATTTTAACTTGCATCTTAATGATTATGAATGATGTATCAGTCAGCTGGGGCTGCCATAACAAAATATAATAGACTGTGTGGCTTAAACAATAGAAATTTATTTCTCACAGTTCTGGAGGCTAGAGGTCTGAGATATGAGTGTCAGCATGGTCACTTTTAGTGAGGGTTTGCACATTGCAGCCTTCTCAGTGTGTCCTAACATGGGGGAGAGTGGAAGACCAAGCTCTCTGATGTATCTTTTAATCAGAGCATTAATCCTGTCATGAGGGCCCCACCCAAAGGTACCATCTTCAAAAGCCATCATATTGGGTCTAGGGCTTCAACATATGGCCATTTGATAAGTTCTGATCTGTGGATACACTCATTAAACCACTCTCACAATGAATTTACAGAGCATTTCCAGTTTCCTAGGGCCTCATACAGTCCCTCCCTCTACCCTTACTCCCATGACAATAATGATCTCCTTTCTGCCTCTATGGGTTAGTTTGCTATTTCTCCAGTTTCATGTAAATGAAATCATACAGCATGTACAATTTTGTGTCTGACTTCTTTCACTCAGCAAAATGATTCAGAAATGTACTCATATTGTGCTTATTAATAACTTGTTCTTTTTTATTGCTTAGCAATATTTCATTGTATAGTTATTCTGCAATTTGTTTATCCATTCACTTGTTGATGGGCATTCAACTTTGTTTTCAGTTTGGGACTATTATGAATAAAACAGGTATGAACATCATGTGCAGGTCTTTTGGGGTCATTTATTTTAATTTCTCTTGGTAAACTATCAAGAAATACAATAGCTGGGTAGTGTGATAAGTATCTAACCTTTTTAGGAGCTGATCAAAGTTTTCCAAAGTGGTTTCACATTTTACTTTCCCACTAGCGATATATAAGACTTTCAGTGTTTCCACATCCTGTCCAACACATAATACTGTTATTGTTGTTGTTGTTCTTGTTGACTTTTTATTATAATCATCCTGGTCATGTACTAGTATCCTATTATAGTTAACTTGCATTTCCTTAAAATGCTGGATATCTTTTAAAGATGTTGGATATCTTTTCTTGTACTTTTTGGCCATTTACATGCCTTCTTTCTTGGAGTATCTGTTCAAATATTTTGCACATTTGCCTGATGGAGGTCAGATTAGTGGATAAGAAGAAGGGCGAGAAAGAAGTGACAG